GGGTCACATCCAAAACCCGGGGCGCAGGTGCGCCGCGCTGGCTGCACCAGGGTGCCTTTCCACCCGAAATCCATCCTCAGGCTGGCAAATGGGTCACATCCAAAACCTGGGGCGCAGGTGCGCCGCGCGGGCTCAGGCAGGCTGGACCAGCATGCAGCTGCGCCGTGCCGGCTGCACCAGGGTGCCGTTCCACCCGAAATCCATCCTGGCAAATGGGTCACATCCAAAACCCAGGGCGCAGGTGTGCCGCGCGGGCTCGGGCAGGCTGGACCAGGGTGCACGTGCATCGGGCAGGCTGGACCCGCCTGAGGGTGCACGTGCGTCGGCCCAGGTGTACCAGGGTGCCATTTGGCCCATTTCACCCGAAATCCATCCAGGGAAATGGGTCACATGCGAATCCCAGGGCGCACGTGTGCCAGGCGGGCTGTACCAGGGTGCGGTTTCACCTGAAATCTATCCAGGCAAATGGGTCACATGCGAGGCCCGATTTGCCTGGATGGATTTCGGGCAAGCACATGGCACTTGGGTATATCCCGCCCGACGCACCTGCATGCAAGGCGCATTTCTGCAAAATGGCTGGGAAACATACTGGTGATTTAAGCTGGCGGCATCCTGTAGGTCCGACCTGTGACAGTCGCATGTTCAGGTCCACGTTCCGGCAGACTGCCAATACGGGACACCTTTCTGCTGACCTCTGACAGTACTCCATCTTGAATGAATATAACCCAATGCAGGCAGGCCCGTGGTGGATAATGAGGGACACGCGGTTAATGGAAGGCCCAAAATTTGGGGTTTTTTGCCGCATCAGGATGTACTCGTCGATTAAACCACCAGCACCTTTCCCCGCTTGCTGATTATCCACTCACAGATTAAACCATCAGTATCTGTCCCCACTCGAAAAACGAAGTTTTAATGGCCGCATTTTTCGGGGGCTCGCGTACCAGACCGAAATGACTGGTGGCGGCGTGGCGCCACTTGCACGGCAAATTTAGGTTGGACATCATTCGCTGGGCGGAATACTGCTGGTTTAAGGGCCTTGGTCCACCACAGAACACTACATGTATCTGGATTGTGCAGATAAATCTAGTCCAGAACCGGATGGATGTTGGACTCCTGAGCATGCATCTACCGGTAGTCCAGAAAAAGGCATCCAAATGCATGCAGACGAACCAGGGCACTCGGTTCCCTGGGTGGCTGCAGAAGACCACAGGCGGTTGGGAGGGTAGGAGAGTGTCGCCATCTTTACTCAGGGAGGGCTGTGTTATCAGACCCTCCCCTCGGTCGATTTAGACCGAGGTCAGGCCACCTACTAGGCCTGTCCCCACACATAAGCGTCCCAAGTAGGTAAGTCTTAGCCTATAGATAGCAGGAGTACGCAAGGTAGCAGCATTAGTTAGATGCATCATTGCTTTAATACTTGTAGTATTAAAACAACAGTATATGAGGGTGAGCTCTTAGCACATGTAACAGGAATATAGAACGCTCTTCCCCTTCCCTCCAGTCTGCTCTGATAAGGTAGTATTCCTTTACTCAAGTAGAGGCTAGTGATTTAGTACCTATCTAAAACTTTCTTCGCCTTCCCTCAAGTCTTCTGCCTAAACTCAAGCTGAAGTCATCCGGTTCCTATTGGTGCCGTAAAAAGTGAAATGGCTAATGCTGCCAGAGGTTTACATTCCAGGTTGAACTGTGGGGACCCCGGCCCCGGCTTGTGACACGCAACCTCACGCCCCCTCGCGGTGTCCCGTACGGGGTCGCCGATCAGAGTTCTAGGAGGGGCGTGGCCGAGGATTTTTGGCCGTAAGGGTTTAGTCTCCCGGACAGAACGGGAGGCCCTCGTTTCGTGCCAGAGGTTTTCCCCGGAGTCGAACTGTCGCCGCGAAGTCCCGTGGGGGTCGGATCACTCCGAGACGATAAAATCAAAAAGGTTTCCACAAAAATGAACTGCCGTCGTGCATCAGGACGGGAAAAGGCATAAAGGGGGGGGCCATGGCGGTGGAAGACAAAACTTCGGCCATCAGGGGTTTGGGGGATAGGTGGTGGGTTCGAAGCCTTCAGGCCTCATCCTCGGTTCTCGCGAAGTGACCGAACCCTCGGGTCTTTGCTGTAGAGGTGGTTGGTTTGAGGCCGTCAAGCCTCGGCGTCAGACTCACAGAGTCCGCGCGAAAGTTTCCGGGAGGGTAACGCGGCGGGAGGACTCGTCGGCACCCGAATTCAAAATTGCGCGGGCAGCGTCCCCGCACTACGGGAAAGCTCAGGGAAACGTGTCGCTCCCTCGTAACCCAGGACCAGCTGTCGCCAAGAACTCGAGTCCCCCTGGCGACACCAGCGACAATCAAACTGCGGCCGCCACTCGGCGTGAGCGGCCGACCAGGGCAACACCGTTAAACTCGTGTAAGGCAATATTAGAGTCGGGGAATCAAAACGATCGATGAGGACAAACCCGTTCCCCCTTATATCACACGCCCGAGGCGGGTCTTGCCAACACACTTGCTCCGTCCGCCTCAGCGCGGGCCGTACGTCCGCATCGCAGTAGACGCTGTCGTCATTTGTGATGGGGAAGGTCGGTAGCGAGATGAGACGGTCGGAGGTACGCGATGAACACGGGCAAGATCCTGCGTTCCCGGTCATCCGAACCAACACCGAATCCATACAACAATCGACGCAATTCTTCTCTCTTAAAAGTGGGTGCGTCGAGGGAAGATGATGAACTTTAAGCTTTCTCCCCTTGCGGGGGCGTCGACCGTCCGCGCGGACGCAGGCGGTTGACGTCACCGGTACGGGGAGAAGAAGCTCCAAGAGCGATGACTATCAGTTCAAAACGGAAGGCGAGAGAGAGAGAGAGAGAGAGAGAGAGAGAGAGAGAGAGAGAGAGAGAGAGAGAGAGAGAGAGAGAGAGAGAGAGAGAGAGAGAGAGA